CATTAGCACAAAATCTTTATACTGTTGAATTGTACTCTTTTCCCCTGGAGAATGGAACGGAAACAGTGGTGGTCAGAATGAGGTGGGGCTCCATTCTTTATCTGTTACCTCATCTCATCCAAGTCCCCAAACAGGGAGAAGGAGCAAATGTTCTCTTCATCTTTTAAAGAGAGAGCTCCACTGATGGTGACTTACTCAACTCCAAAACCAAGTCTGGGGGAAGGGTACATGCAGCAACGAGAGCAGTATCACCTGTAGGAAGGTGAAAAGAGCTCAGGGGATGGCTCAGGGTTCAGCATAATTTAATTTCAATCGATAAAACAATAACACAATCTAAAAATACTAGCATGCAATGGATTTGCTCTTTCTTGATATCTAGCAAGTTTCCACAGCCCACATGTAACATTATCGTGAAACAGTGAAAGGTAGAGTCCACAGACAAGGAAAATCAATGACACAGGCAGGCTGAAACCCAGGCTGGAGGAAAGGAAGATAAAGGGCATAGTTAAGAAGAGGGGAAAGTCTGGGAAAAAGAAATCATCACAATAACTCTCAAGCATCATCCAAGAATCATATAATCATTCATTCAAGAGAGAGTTACTTAGGTCCTATTTTGTGCAAGATTTTACAGAGGGCAAAGAAAGACCGCAGTGTCCATGGTGTCAGCAAATGGCGGGGCTATAATACAATTCGAATCCAGGTACCTTGCACACTTGTCCTTAGTATAAATGCAAAAAAATAAAGTAAAATAATACTATGTAAACTCTACGCAATCTTGAAAAAAAATAAAGAAGACCTAAATACCTGGACAGACACACCACGCAGATTCCTGGATCAGATGACAGCGCCCTTGGGATGGGAGTGCTCCCCAGAGCGATATGTATACTCAATGTGGTCTCGATCACAATCCCAGCGGGCTCCTCTGCAGTAACTGACTAGCTGCTGCTACAATTCATATGGGAATTCGAGGGTCTCAGTAATCAAAACATACTTGAAAAAGAAGAACAATGTGAGAGGACTTGTAATTCTCAATTTCAAACCTTACAACTGTATCTCCAGGTGAGATTAGGGGCCATTTTTAAGTTATTACTGTGTTTATCCTTATTTTCTAAATTCTGTACAATGAATATACCTGTTAGAATAAGAAAAATAAAAAGTAAGATATATTTTAAAACATGCACACCAATTCATTCATTGGGAAGAAAATTATTTTAACTTTAAAGAGGTAAACAAATATCTAGTGAAAAAGGACAACTTAAAAACAAGTGTGCATTTACAATTTTCATAAATTGAAAACTGAAAAGCACAAATACACCAAGTTTCTAGGGAGACCGGGGAAATACATTAACAGTTATTTTCAAAAATTCTAATTGAACAATGAAAACTCAAAGGGAAAATCCTGATTGACAGCCAACTGCAAACACGTGGAGAGCAAAGGCCTAGAAATCACAGTTCCTTTAAATCTGCTACTAACTCAAAAGGAGAGGAGATTCCTCACTGAGGGGACAGTGGAATCCCTTGCATAACACAGGATACACAGTACAAACGGCACTAGATACGGGGGTGATTTTCTTAGAAGAATTCTAAAGTTACAACATTGCCGAAAATCTATATAAACACTGACAGACAGATTAAAACACACAGTCATGTATATTATATATAAACATATGAAGTCTGCTCCCATGTTGCATAGGAATACAATCATATTTGTTCAATAATGGACACTGATTAATTTATCCCAGGTAGAATATTTCAACTAAAACAAATAATCAATATTTCATTCGTCTTGTCAAATCTACTTGATAAGTTACTCTGCTATGTAACCATAATGTGTCTAAGATATATCTAAAATCAGTGAAAAAGATCTTTGTATGGTATTTGAATTCTTATCAAAATTCCAAGCTTAATTTTAAAATAAATCTGACCATTATTTCTATATTATCTAATCCCTTGGGAAATGAACAACAGAGTCTGTGGTCAAAATTCTGTCCTACAATGATTCATGAGCACCGTATCCTCACAAAACTGCTAGACAGCAAGGCACGATCCAGACACTGTGACCAAACAAATGAAACACAAGTAAGACAGTGACCCTATTCTGGAGGGCTTATATTATGTGCCAACACAGGGGTTTATATTTGATTGGTTTGATTGGGTAGCAAAATAAAATCAATCAAGTACTTTCTTCTTTGAGCATTCTGTAAGTCATGACTGTTTTTAGTGTCAAGAGCAGGAAAGACTTAAGCATGACATGATTAGGTCAACTAGCAACAATCATCACTGGAGAGTGAGTAATAAAGAAGTTAACTGACAGCAATGCTTCTGCCTACATGAGACCTAAAATAAATCTACACTGATATCTGAAAGGAAAATGAGGAGATGAGGTCCCCAATGAGAAAACAAACTAACAAGAAATCAAAAAAGAAAGACGTTTTCATTAATGATTCCAGGCAGTAGTGGAGCATGGTGGTGAAGAGCACAGATGCTGGGGACAAACATGAGGGTCTGAGCTCCCACAGCACTGGGTAGCTGTGACACTGATATTTCAGTGAAATTTTCTGCATCTCAGTCTCCTATCCATAGACTGGGGAGAACAACCGCACCCATCTCCTAGAACGTTCCTACGAATTATGTTATTTTATATATACAAGTTTAAATAAAATAACTCAGATTTTAAATAATACCCCAAAAGCACAAGGAACAAAGAAAACAGAGATAAATTGGAGTTCATCAAAATTTAGAACTTTGCTTCAAAGAGCACCATCCAGAAAGTGAAAAAACAACACACAGGAGAAAGTTTTTTCAAATCATTTATCTGATGAAGAATTTGTATCTCCAAATAAAAAAAAAAAAACCTACAACACAACAATAAAAAGGCAACTCAATTAAAAGGAGGATAAAGGATCCGAAAAGGTATTTTTCTAGGAAAATATACAAATGGCCAATAAGCACATGAAACGATGTTCAATATCATTAGCTGTAAGGGAAATCAAGTCAAAACCACTAGGAGAAACCGCTTCACACTCACTACAATAGGTTATAATCAAAAAAAGTGTAACAAGTACTAATGAGGACACAGAGGAAGCTGAGCGCACAGCCCTTGCTGGTGAGGATGTAACACAGCGTGGCCACTTTGGAAAGCAGCCTGGCACGTCCTCAGAGATTTGAACATTTGGTTTATGAAAGACCCAGCATTTCTGCTCTCTGGTCACACACGTAAGAGAACTGAAAACAAATGTCCACATAAAAACTCCTAAAGGAATATTCACGGCGCCATTACTCATCACAGCCAAAAAGCAGAAACAAC